TTTTATATAGTTTGTATATAAAATAAAAAACTTAAGTTTTTATTATAATATTTTTTAATTATTTTTTTATCTAAAAATAAATTATTATTTACTAGCTATTCTAATATTTTATAGTTAGAAAAAATAATATTATATAATTACTAATTATTTTAAATAAAAATATTTTAATAATTTGATAAAAAAAATTATTTATTATTTATTTTTTAATCTAATAATTAATTTATTTTTTTATTTAATATTTTTTTAATATATCTAGTTTACTTTGTAATATTTAATAATTCTAGAAAAAACTATTTATAAAAATCTGATTTAAATCTTTTTTAAATAAAAATTCTTTAAACTATATAAATTAGTTTATATAATAATTTAATAAGACTTTTTATTTTATTAATTATAATTTTTCTAAGATTATATTATAGGATTCTAAATCTAAGATTAAAAAAATCTATTTAAAAAGTCTTTCTTCTACTATAAGATTAAAATAATTATATATATTAAAAAAATAAAAAATTTTTCATTAAATCTAATTATATTTTAAATATTTTATAATTTAAATAATTTTATTTTAAGAAATATTTCTATTTTAATTATAAATTTAGTATTAATATAAATATAAATATTTATTCTAATATATATTAAAATTTAAATAAAAACAGCTATTATATTTTTTAAAATTAGAATTTTAATTATAAAACTATTTTTTAGAAATTTTAATAATATTTTTAGATTAATATACTACTAGTTTATATTTATTATATTTAAAATAAAAACTTTTTTTAGATTAAATTTATTATTAATATATTTTTAGATTTAGCTTTTTTTTATTATTTTAATAAAAAATATCTTTTTTATATAATTATAATTTAAATATTTAGATTTTTTATAATAAAAATATTTTTCTTCAGCTAGTAATATAATATGAACTTCTTTATTTATATAAAATTAAATAGGATTTTAATTTTATTTTTATTAATTATTAAAATAGTTTTATTATTTAGATTATTTTTATAATTTCTAGATAAGATTTAATAATAGTATTTTATATTTTTATTTATATTTTTAGAAACTTTAGTATATATAAAAGTATATTATTTAAAATTAATATTCGATTTATAAAATTTAATAAAAATTAGTTTTTTAAATTTTAAAAATAGCTTTTAATAAAAATTAAATTTTTAAAAATCTATTAAAATATCTATTTCGCCGGTTAGATAGTAAAACTAAATATAAAAATTATAGAATTTTTATTTTAAAATTATTTTAAAATATATATACTTTAATTTAATATTCTATTTTTAGTTTAAATTAATATAAATTGCGGTTAAATAAAATAAAATATTTATTATATTTTTAAAAAAATATTTAATTTTAATTTTTAATTTAAAAAAAATAAATATTTATAAATATTATTCTTATAATAACTAGTAATATATATTTTTTATATAATTAGATTTTTATAATAATTAATATTAGTTTTAAGTTTTTATTTAATTATAAACTTCTAATTTTTAAAAATAATATTATTTTTATTATTAAATATCAAAAAATTAAAGAATTTTATAATTTTTTAAAAAATTAAAATTTTTTAATTTATACTAGTTATCAGAATTTATATAATATTTTATTATATCTTAATTTAAATTATCTTATTTTTTAGAATATTTATTTTTATTTTTAATAAGTTAATATTATAAAATAGGATTTTTTTAATTAATTTTTAATTAAACCAGACTTTTTCTTAGCTTATTTATTTTAGTTAATAATTACTAATTTTTTTCTTAAATTTATTATAAATTTTTAATACTAATTTAAAAATATATATAAAATCTTTTTTATAAAAATTATAAAATTTTTTAAATATAATATTTTTTTTAAGAATTTTACTAATTTTATTTATAAATAAAATTAATTTTTATATTTATTTTTAAATAATTTAATCTTTAATATATTTTATATTATTATAATGATTCTTAATACTTTAATTTTAATATTAATTAAATTAAAATTTAATTTATTTTAAAATCCAATTTCTATTTATTAGTTTTATATAATTTATAGATTATAATAATAAAATTTTTTTAATTTTAATAATAATTTAGTTATATATTTAGATTTAAATTAAATCTTTTTAATTTTTCGGCTACTATACAGTCTATAATTATAATAATAAAAATTTAGTTAAAATTTATAATTCTAAATTTATATTTTTTTTAATAAATATTTTTTAAAGTCGACTGTTATCGCTGTTAATTTATAAAAATAAAAAAAACTTTTTAATAATAATAAAAATATATATTTTTATATATTTTAGTTATAAAAAACTTTAAAAAATAAAAATAAAAAAAAACAATATTTAAAATTATATAACAGCCGATCAGACTAATTAAATTTTATTAGTATAATACTATTTAAATAAAATCTTAAATAAAAAAAAGAAAAATAGCTATATTTCCCGCGGTATTATATTATCTGAATACAGTATAAATAAAGTAAAAAGATTAAATATATTAAACTAGTCTTAATCTGCTACTCCGTTTGGATGCCTTCCGCATGGCTCTCACAATAATAGCTAATGCTTTCTAAAAAGCTATTTAAATTAAATAATATAATTTAAAAATAAATAAAATATTTTAAAATAATTGTAGTAAAAATTTATTAGATAATATATTACTTTTTCTTAAATAACTAAAAATTTAAAGAATAAGAAATTATTAGATACTATTTAATATAGTAGATATACTAATTAAATAAAATAAATAAAATAATTAAAAATAGTTTTTTATTAATTTTAAAATTAATTCTTTAAAAATCTTCTTTTTAATAATCTTAAAATAATATATTATATAAAAAAATATATAATATAATAATATAAATATTCGGATTAAAAATCTAATAAATCTATATTAGTTTTTAAGCGAGCTGCCATAATAGTAAATATGAACTGCTATAGCAGTAGGTATTGTATAATAATTAGAAATCTAATAGTTATAGCTTATGTTTTAAATATATTCTTTTTATAAATACTTTTAAAAATAATAGTAAAAATCTTATCTATGTATTTAAGCTTTAAGAACTGATTTAAATTTTTTAAAATATATTTTTGAATATTAAGTTTATAAACTATTTATTAATTAAAATTAACTATTATTTTTATATATTAAAATATTTCTGGCCCGAGATTAATTATAGTAAGATTTTATCAATAAAACTTTTTATATAATAAAAATAGAGATTTATTTTACTAATATATAATTAAATATTTTATTTTTATTTATTAATAAAAAGTATTAATAATATTAATAAAAAGTCTAATAGTTTATTAGAAAGAATTTTATATTTTGATTTATATTATATATAATATTAGATAATAGTCTTTCTATTTCTATAATAGTTTTTTAGTTTAATATTCTTAGTATATATTAAAAATATTTTAATTAAATCAACTGGCTGTAGTATTATCTCTACTATTATATACGAAAATGTTACATTTAATATATATAAAAATCAAAAATTGAAAAAAAAGATATTATAAATAATATAAATTTAATAGATATAAGATTTTTTAATAAAATATTAATAGAGTTGATGCTTTAAAAAAAGTAATAGATAAGAAAAAGTTTATAATCTAAAAATATAAAAAAAGATAAATTCTAGCTATTTAAGTATTTATCTAAACTGCCGGCCGAAGACGGTGAGCTACCCAGCCAATAGGAGGCCAGGCCCTCCACAATTTTTATATATTCTATTTTTTTCTATATCTAATTCTTAACACGGGTGTTGTTTTTTATAAAACAGGTATATATTGTAATTAGCTGTAGTATTTTCAGTAATATTAATTCTACTGTAATTTTTTATCTTAGATAGTTCTTCTATAGTTCAGACTTTCAGTAGTTCTATAAAAAACAACTATTTTAATATAATCAACTTTATTCATCTATTTATTCATCGGCTGCAACTGTCACATTTATTTTATATCATTGCTTCTATTGGTTGTTATATTTATAGATTTGATTTTTTTTGTTTCTAGTATATATATTTTATTATTTTAATTATATACTTTAAACCTGTATTTTTTAGTACCCCCCCCTCTCTCTCTCTGTACCCGGAGAACTAATAATTACTTCTCCGAATAGTCAGAGTATTAAGAAATACTGCTGTTTTTAATAAATATATTATTTTATATGACTGTTATTATATTCTTATAATATAATATCTTATTTATTCAAAAATACAGTCTTTGATTTGATAAATAGATTTATAAAAATAATATTACTATGAATAAACTAGTTTATAATTATAAATATTATATTAATATACTTATTGAACTATTTAATATTTATATTTAATATTATGAATATTTTAATTTTTTTAATTTTTTAATTTTTTTATTTTTCAATTTTTTTATTTTTCAAATATTACTTTTATTAATTTTTTATATTTCTGTCTACTGTATTATAAATTTTAGTAAAATATTTTTCAACCGTTTGTTATTTTCTTTCTAATAGTTATATTATCGATATATTTTTATATACTTAATTTAATATAAATATTGTTTTTAAGATAGTAGGATTTATAGTATACCTTATAGTTACCGATTCTACTATATATCTAGGAGCCTATTTTTTATACTATTTTCGGATATTTTTTGGTCTTTTCGTCTTTCCGAGTCTTTGGTTTTTTTAAAAAACCATACTTTATATACACTCATATCTATGTATTCAGAAACTGCCATAAAATAGTTTTAATAATATAATAAACATAACCCTCTTATTCTGTGAAGAATGTAATAATACAAATATATTTAACAAGAATAATAATAGTTGAATTGCTTTAACTTTAAGTATATAATAATAATATATACGGGTGCCTACTTGCCTGCTGTGTCCACTTGCTTACCAATTGCATTACACCTAACTAGGGTTATGACATCAGCCAACAAGCGGCCTGAAGTGTCAGCCATAGCCCCATGCATCCATTTGCCTTCTTGTCCTTTATCGTCCCAAAACTTCTTTTTTCCTCCCGCGGTCACAAGGCATTAGTAGTGTTTTACTTCGCTCGTTATCCGTACTCCCCTGATCAAAACATATAGATAGAAAATAACTCTCCGTTTGAGATTGGCTTGTCAATGTCTATGAGGTCCTACTTTGTGTAAGCATATATCCTGGAGCCTTGTATGTTTACAAATGCGATTAATATGCTGAACAAGCATTCAACTTGCGCTTCCAAACAGACCCGGCTGAGGATTTCCTACGTGCTCAAGCATATTTGCTGCGAGGTGTCTACTGAGCAATACCTCTATCTTACTCTCCGCGAGGCTCCTCGATACCTTCTACATCTGCTCTTAGGCCTATGGATGCAAATGTCTATGTCTTGATTATACCTCAAGCTACATTCCGCCAGCATATTCAGCCCTGTCACCCTTCATCAATACGAACACACCAAGCTGCTGCGGCCCTCAAAATAGCTCCCGAGATATCATGGGAATTCAGCACTGCATTCTCAAATATTGGTGTGTTTCCTTCGACCTCAACATCGCACTGTACGCGATGCAGTAAAGTGTATCAAAAGTCGGCGAAAATTGCAGCAAGTGTCGTTGGGAGATGCGAAGAATGCTTGATTCTTTGAGAGTGGGCGTTGAAGCTGGGGACCAAGAGCAATTGAATACAGGAAACAAGGTAGCCGAGGTTAACTTATTGATGGTCAAGGTTCGTATTCAGATAGATTACTATTTTAAGTCAACCACAAATAAACTGATCCGGGGTATAGTCGAACCGGGTTATTGGAGCTCATCTCTCCCCAATCGTCTAGTTCAATGTGGGCAGCGTATAGCCTAAGACGCTTCGGTCTTCGTAGTGACTTTGCTGGCCAGGTAACTGAAGAACCAGAAATTGGCAGTAGCTTCACGGCCACCCAATTGGAGCAATGGCTTGCCAAGAATGTAACATGAGGTGACTTCTCAGGCTGAAATTGAATCACATGTGAAGAACGAACTCGTGGCATCAGTTTGTGTGAAGCAACTGTCTGGTTAGATGTTCATGTACGAGTCTCTTCTGATCGCACAAAAAGTCCGCTTCGGAGCCTCGGTCTCCTGTTTGGCATAGGCAAGCCCGACGGAGTTCTCAATCGTACTCCTCTTGCTCACTGGGACAGCGGTGGCTGATAGTTGAGAGGACGTCTATATGTTGTTGTCAGAGGTATCGTAATCGGGCGAATGTTTGAAACTCACTTGAACAATAGAATATGAGGCTCCGGTTCATGTACTTCGTAATGCTCCCAGCCCAAACTCTGCACAGTGGATTAGAACCACCTTGACCTATCAAATCGTTATAGGCATCATTTTCAAACAGCCATACCTGAGTTATACCAAGCGCACGCCACTCATCTTCCCAGAGCAGTTTTAAAGTTCCTTTTGCGCTATCAAAGTAGTCGGCCGGTATCTTTTTCAGCATGTTCTTAGGAAGTTGGACATGTCGGTATTCGAATTGATCATCGGAGTATCTAGAAACCAGAGGACGGTGAGAACAAGCCATACACTCCTGGTCAAATTAATTACCTGGCAGAGTAGTGTATAGAGTCAATGAACTCTTCGAGTCTCTCACGTTCTGATTCTAGTAGTAGACGTGGCTTCTTATTTCTTCTGCTCATATCGATATCCATCTGGAACGACGAAGGGGTTGATGACACAGTACAGACGAAGTATTCTAGTTATAAGCAAGATGGCCAGGTTAGTGAGTGGATAATTCGAATTTCATAAGAAGAAGATAATCTGTGGTTCTGTATGGGAACTCACGGTTCAGGCAACAGTACACTGCAACAGGCGCAGGAACCGGGACAAACAGTAGTTAATATTTGGACACGGGTACAGTGCGATTAAATTCTCTCCAATGACCTGGGATGTGTAAGAATCGTGATATGCATGCAAGATTTGTGATTATTATCGGGCCGAGGGAGAGAAAATTGGAAGGGGTCGACGAAGTTAACCAAGTGGCTTTGCAACTCTTTGGGATACTGTTAGTGGGATTATCCAGGTTCATTTCAGTGCCTGAGGTGTCAACTATATAGGATGGAAATATCTCTACCGAATAAGTCAACCCCTTGTTCATACACTATGCACTGGTTTTTCTCTATTTGAACAAAAGTTTTTGAGCATATTGCATAGTGCGAGAAATTTCTTCCTCCAATTGAGGTTTCGCTAGTTACGAGCCGATTGCGCAAAACCTATGCAGTATCAATAACACATAAGTAACCAATCTGATAATGAACTGGAAACCTCGCAACAACTAGAGCAGCATGACAAAAACAATATCTCTTGTTTCTCTGTGTCTGGTTCCATGAATACATTGGATGCTTGGTTCTATTGTTCAAAGGACACATCCGATCTTGCCGGGAGAGGGATAGGTTCCGTAGCCTGGAGGCTGGACTCGATTTGAGATACCTCTAGTATTGGGATATCTTGATGTTCTAGGACAGTTTACTACACTTGGTAGTCTGGTTTTTGTTTGAACCGCAGCTGATAGCTTGTGCCATTCTAGCAGAGGCCATATGATTCTACCACTCTTTTTAGATAGGAAAATGGGTCAAATAGCCTTCTAGACAATAAAAAGTTGCCTGTGATCAGGGTTCTGGGTCTGCCCTTCTGAAACAAAGCAATCTCTCCGAAGATTACACACTGTCCCACTCAAATATCTTATCCATCGCTACGCTGTATTCTGTAGGACATTGTGATGGTGTATTGCGGATATAAGATAGCATTGGCTGTTATACCTATAATAAGTCCAGTAAGGGACTGACTGCGAGAAAATCACAGGTAGAAATTGTATTGACTCGGGTATACAAAGGCTGTTAATATGTTCAAAAGTATGAGCTCTTATGTGTTATTCAGAATGTACTATATAGTTCTATACCAAGCTTCAAGACCTCATCTATAGCAAGTCTGTAATGTGAATTCTAGAGTTCTTTATTATATACTCTTTGTATCTTCTGTTTCCATTTTGCCCCTTATAGGAACAGAATATGTTATCAGTAGCCTTTCACTCAGTACTCCCTTATTACAAAATAGTCAGCAATATAGCGGTTTATAGTTGGTTAATGACACTCCTAGGCAGCTGCTTAGTACTTTTACGGCTGTGAGGAATGTGTGGACTGTGAGAGGTTGAGGCCTAGGCTTACTAGTATACTAGGCCTGACTGGATAAGTATCCATAGCCTGACAGCTGGCCATACCTGAAATGGCAAGGAAGAGGCTGCGCTGCGTATTGAATATTCTCGGTTCCGAGTTGCCAGTCTTGACAGAGGTAATGGCTAGATGACCTAACCTAACAAGCAACTAACTAGTTATGTAAGTTAACATAATACCGACTGAGCGCAACGGCGATTACTAAGGGTTAAGTGTTACTAAGATAGTAGGTCATCTCAGCCGAGGGCGCGGGAGGGTTGGAGCCTTGGAGGGAAACGAGAACCAAAGAAAAAGAGGAAAAGTGGGGTTTTTTCCTTCCATTTTTTTTACCTTTCCCTTTGCAGAATAAAAATTTAATCACTCCCACCTCAACACCTGGGGCGTTTTTTATAAGACCTTCTCCCTCCAACAATCTCCCCCAAAATTTTCACCTAGATTCCTCCCACCTCCATATCAGTTTCTCACATCTTCAATATGGCTGACGAGGTTTATGAAGGTGCCATTGGCATCGATCTTGGTATGCTAACTCACCTTGCTATCTTCATCCATCGAATGTGAAATTTCTGTACAACGTGCAGATGTTTTCTGAACATGGCTGACAACAAATTCAGGCACAACCTACTCTTGCGTTGCCAACTATGAAGGCACCAATGTTGAGATCAGTATGTATCTGCCTGTCATTGGATATTAGCCGCCATGCTTAACAAGTCCATTAGTCGCCAACGAGCAGGGTAGCTACACAACCCCCTCATTCGTTTCCTTCACCGACAAGGAACGTCTGATCGGCGAGGCCGCCAAGAACCAGGCTGCCATGAACCCCGAGAACACTATCTTCGACATCAAGTGAGTATTCTCAACCCATTGAGGGCTCCCCTGTGACATGCAGAATCTAATGCATACCAGGCGTCTTATTGGTCGCCGGTCCGAGGACCCTATTGTGAAGAAGGACATCGAGTCGTGGCCTTTCAAGGTTGTCGACCAGGGTGGGAACCCTGCCGTTGAGGTCGAATACCTTGGCGAGAGAAAGACTTTCACCCCTCAGGAAATCTCCTCCATGGTCTTGATGAAGGTAATCGAGTTGTGTCCAAAACCGGTCATCGGGTCGGGTACTGACTTCTGAGATAGATGAAGGAAGTTGCCGAGACCAAGCTCGGAAAGAAGGTTGAGAAGGCCGTTATCACGGTTCCTGCCTACTTCAACGACAACCAGCGTCAGGCTACCAAGGATGCCGGTGCTATTGCTGGCCTCAATGTCCTCCGTATCATCAACGAGCCCACTGCTGCTGCTATCGCTTATGGTCTCGGCTCCGGCAAGTCCGAGAAGGAGCGTAATGTCCTCATCTACGATCTGGGTGGTGGTACTTTCGATGTGTCCCTCCTCAACATCCAGGGAGGTGTCTTCACCGTCAAGGCCACCGCTGGAGATACCCACCTTGGTGGACAGGACTTCGACACTAACCTTCTGGACTTCTTCAAGAAGGAGTTCCAGCGCAAGACTGGAAAGGACCTGTCAGGTGACCCTAGAGCCCTCCGTCGCCTGAGAACCGCCTGTGAGCGTGCTAAGCGCACTCTGTCCAACGCCACCCAGACCACAGTTGAGATCGATTCTCTGTTCGATGGCGAGGACTTCAACTCCTCCATCACCCGTGCCCGTTTCGAAGATCTCAACGCCAAGTCTTTCTCGGGCACTCTTGAGCCTGTTCAGCAGGTCCTGAAGGACTCCGGTCTTGAGAAGAGCCAGGTTGACGAGATCGTGCTCGTCGGTGGTTCTACCCGTATCCCACGTATCCAGAAACTTCTCAGCGATTTCTTCGATGGCAAGAAGCTGGAGAAGGTAAACATGCCGCCCAATAATCTCCTATTGACCCATAAATTGACATGATTGACAGAGCATTAACCCCGATGAAGCTGTTGCCTACGGTGCTGCCGTGCAAGCTGGAATTCTGTCTGGAAAGGCCACCTCCGCCGAGACGCAGGATCTTCTGCTCCTTGATGTTGTTCCTCTGTCTCTTGGTGTTGCTATGGAGGGTAACATCTTCGCCCCCGTTGTTGCCCGTGGCCAGACTGTCCCTACCATTAAGAAGCGCACCTTCACAACTGTTGTTGATAACCAAACCACCGTCCAGTTCCCCGTTTACCAGGGTGAGCGTACTAACTGTGCTGACAATACCTCATTGGGCGAGTTTACCTTGGCACCCATCCCTCCCATGAGAGCTGGTGAAGCTGCCCTTGAGGTTGTCTTCGAGGTTGATGTCAACGGTATCCTTAAGGTCACTGCTACTGAGAAGTCGTCTGGCCGTACTGCTAATATCACTATCTCTAACGCTGTTGGCAAGCTTTCTACCACTGAAATCGAGCAGATGATTGATGGTAAGAGATTTTGCCGCTCTGATAGTTTCTTGCACTAACAACACGTCCAGATGCTGCCAAGTTCAAGTCTAGCGATGAGGCTTTCACCAAGAAGTTTGAGTCTCGCCAGCAGCTTGAGTCCTACATCTCTCGCGTTGAAGAAATCGTCTCCGACCCCACCATGTCCCTTAAGCTCAAGCGTGGCAACAAGGAGAAGATTGAATCCGCTCTCAGCGATGCCATGGCCCAGCTTGAGATTGAGGATTCCACCCCCGAGGATTTGAAGAAGAAGGAGCTTGCCCTCAAGAGACTCATCACCAAGGCCATGGCTACTCGTTAATCCTTCTTCCAAGCCTCATCTGCTATAATAATCGTCCATCTTGAGACCAGAGAGCCTGCCTTCCGAGTTACCCCCGACCCTTACTTGCTATTTTCAGTGAAGAATCATTTCGCTACACATGAGATCAAAGACTATGATGTTACCTATGGACCCTTTCTGGATTGAGAGTGTTTATTTATGATTGGGGAGACAAATATGAAAAGTACATTTTTTCTCGTTCAAAGGTTACACAATGTGCCATCACTAGAGATGGACGTACACACAAGTAATCAAGTAGCACTTGGGCATATTAAACACATGAGTGTTTCACTCTGACCTTAAGAAAGCTTCGATGTTACCCATACCAAGTGGGTCTAACCCAATGTTGTTATGTAATATGTACAGCATGCGCAGTATGCTACTGGCTGGTCCAGCCTTAAGTAAGCCATGCAAAGGTTCAAGCTCAGCAGAAACCTCGCATGTGTGGTGATCTTGTCAAGACCAAACCACTCTGCGAAACAAACCAACACCTATCCAAAAGCAATGCGTGCAACTACAACACTTTCGCAAGTCTTTGGCGCTCGATGCTTCCCTCCAATCGCTCCAGTCATTTCTTCCTCACCGCTCACCGGTTTGCATAGGCTCTCTGCTCAACACAAAGTTGCAGGCGTATTGGCATATCGCAATTTTTCCAACTCAGCTGCACTTCACAAGAAGAAGGATAAATTAAGATTATCTTCCAGCGCAGTAGCCGACGATAGAGCCCTTAAAGACTCACCATCTTCTGGTGACCCTTACGATCTCTCACAACTGCATGATGGTATTTCTACTGCTTTGTCTAGCTTGAAAGATGATCTCTCTAAATTCCGCGGCGGTGGCCGGTTTGATATAAATGCCATCGAGAGCCTTCGGGTACAGCTCAGCAAGGCGAAGAAAGAGACACTGAGACTTGGAGACTTAGCCCAGGTCATACCGAAGGGCGGACGCATGGTTACGGTCTTGGCTGCGGAAGAGGATGTATGGCAATTCACCCTTCCAAGTTGGCCTTTTCGACATATTTATGCTATATGAATGGCTGTTGAGCTTACTCTGACCTATTAACCTTGAGTTCTAGCACGTTAAATCAATTATCTCTGCGATCATTTCCTCCAATTTATCTTTGACCCCTCAAGCCGATCCTCACAATGCTCTCCAGCTCAATGTTCCCATCCCACCCCCTACGAAAGAATCCCGGGAACAGGCAGTTACCATGGCCAAGAAAGCGATGGAAAAAGCGGTTACGGCAGTGCGGGATTCGAGAGGTGTTGTACACAAACGACTCCAAGACATGCAGAAAAAGAAGACTGCTAGACCGGATGATGTGCGAAAGGCACAGGAACAGATGGAAAAACTCTCAGAGAAGGGGCAGAAAGATGTGAAAGAACTATTTGAAACAGCAAAGAAGGCCATGGAGAGAGCATGAAACAAACTGGCAATCAAGCCTCTTTCTCTCACAGCGAGGCCAGAGGTCATGAACATTTACAGCTTCTAGAAACTGCTTTCCAGTCGCCGAGAGTTACAACCGGGAGCCCAAGCCACATCAGCAAAAGCAACGTATGTAAGAATAGATGACTAAGTATACATGAAGTACAGCAAAAATGAGGACGGTTAAACACGTCTTGTAGGACGGCCAGAGGTCAGAAGTGATTCCACCTTAGCAAAGAACTGCGTATCCTTTCCAGCTGTGAGATATGACCCATTGTTTTTCAAATTCGTCGCAATTTGATCTAGGACGGGGGATCGGGCAGACTGCCCACTTAAGGTCGCTGGGTATTTACCCTGAACGAGCAATTCAATCAGAGTCTTTCGATCCTTTTCGTCAATTGGGCTGAAAGTGACTTCGATAGGCTCAACCAAATCGCCTTTTCGCTGTGAGAGCTTGTCCGCAAGTAATTGAGACAGCCTCCTTGCCTCTGCTACAGCAAATGACTTCTCCTCCTCGTCCAAGAAGCGGACGTATCTGCCTTGGAAAAGCCGCTTGCCCATTTCTGTAGGAGAAACATAACCGTGGGCGAAGCGGGCGCTGATCGACGACAGTGTCTCAGCAACTCCAGCTGTATGGGCACCGACATCGGTGGGCAGAGATGGCCACGTCTCCCTTAGCGAGTCTAAAGTGACGGGCTCTGGATCATAACGAACGGAAACGGGCTTTGCTTGCTCTTCAAGTTCACGGAAAACGTCTTCAATTCCTTGTCCATCGATCGCCTCATCTGTATCGATATCTGATGGATTGCGTGTGCGACGTTGCGTCCGATCTTTGGCTGTGGACTTTTGCGTGGGAGGTCTCGGTCCGCGGCTCCGGGCAGCTGTTAAGTTCTGAGGAGTCCGAAGTCTCGGCCCCCTTATGATGTTGGTGGGCTGAGAACCGCTTCGACCGGCGGCTAAGGATCTTGCATCAATAACTCTTCGAGGAAGAGGACGATCGGAGCCCGTGTTTCTGGGATTCAGACGAGCTGGCGGGATAATAGGCCTTCTAGGTCGAGCCTGGGAGGTTTCGCTTGAGTTCGAGGTGGACGAGGTAGTAACTCCTCGAGTACCTGGGATGATTAGGACCAAACAGTGAAATATATATATATGCCCAAGTCAAATAGAAGCCTCCAAGAGTGTTATCGAAGATTCATCGACACAACCTAAGCGAAGGTATACAGGCAGCCCCATGGTTGGCACCACCACAAAATTTGCAGACTTACCGGATCGAGGCGTGTTGGTCAAGTCAGTGGCAGAAAAGCAACGGATAAATGCATGAGGCTTTTCACCTAACTTAGCACACCCCTGGTGTAAAAGCGGAATCCGGGATTGAAACATCTTCGATGGCGAGGAAGATGTATCACAGCTGAGTTCAGGTAAGTGTAAAATTGTTTGTTCCAAGCCGCGGATGCTACATGATCACGTGCCTATGATTGCCTCGCCAGGCTATCATATCCTCCTGCATTCTTACCATCCAAACCCGGGTCAAAGTGTCTATGTTCACACGCTTCATTCATCGATTGATTCAAGACCTATACTCAAAATGCTTCGCCGTAAACCAACCGCAATAGCCGTGACATCAGAAGACCTTACTGCTTTCGAAGAAGCGCGACTTCGCAAGTTCACTCGAAGCAGCGGAAATACAAATCATGCCACGGACACCTATCCTGTCAACTTTGATCCAAATGATGAATTGAAACCTTTGCCTGGAGACAAGGCAAGAATAGTACGTTCGCGTGAGGAACGTATAGGCGTTTCTCGTCATCATTGAACAACCGCAAATTTCTTTTTCTCGACTGCCTCACCAATTTTCCCTTGCATTTTGGGCAGGTCGTTGCTGGTCTGCATGCTATCCAAATCTCACTCGCCCGCCTCACACGGCTTACTGTGGGAATTGTATTTCGAGAGAGCCCATTGTTCCTTGTACCCTATAACCTTGTCACGCGGCCAATGTCCATCACACAGAACCTACCTTTTATGCTCATTCTTGGACCACTCGAAGCCTTAGACGAGGCTGAAAAGTATAAAGTTCACCTGAAATTCTTGAGTGTTGCATATCTGCACTTTCCTGTTTGCACAAGGTCCAGAATCTCCGATCTACATCAGGTCGTGTTTTGTATTTACTTGACCAGAGAAAGAAAGATAGCCATTGCACGCCTCAAACAACCCGGTTGTGCTATTGTTGCAGATGGGAGGACACTAGAGCATCTACGCCCATGAAGAATGTCGTTTCAGACCACCAAAGGTGTAAATGATATGCTTTGTCCCCGTTGTCAGTGATTGTGCATGATACCGTGCAAGTGTACGTATAGAGGGTATAGAGATCAGAGCTGTGAAACAAGCACTTTCGACAGTATTTATGACAAAGTAAAAGGACGTGCATGGAAGAAATAAGTGATCTGCCGAACCAATACCAACCAGTAGGCACCAATCGCATGCAGAAGCAGCTGAACATGAAGATAACTGGTGCTATTATAGGCAAGAAGAATCTCATAAAGCTCATGAATGTTGTCGTTTGGAAACTTCCTCTGTGCCCAAGTCGAGAGAATAATTCCAGCGTCTTTTTAACCCGTTAGGGTCATACACACTGGCAACGCTCTGTTGCCAGTCACGTGCAGTAAAAAGTACTTGTTGCCCTGTAAATTGAGCTTGTGGTAATGGGTGAGAGGGGGCGATTGGGCCAACTTTTGTAGTCGGTGTGCCATATTGGACCGGAAATTGACCTGCAATAGTTGACTGCATTGCCTGCGGATGATTACTCATGGCCATAGGCGGGGAATTGGTATTGACCGTGGGTGGCCCAATAGAGAATGCCATGTCCCATTGGCTTCATTGAAATTAGGTGTGTGTTAGTGATAATTGCGACAGATGAGATAAAACGGTAAGGGATTCACTCTTACTTGATGATACGAGTGGGATCCCAACTACTCTCATCGACTAAAGGCGCATCTATACTGTGGCTCGAAATCGACTGGGACGGGATTAATCCCAACGGCTGAAGCTGAGATGAATCCGACTTTGACACCTCAGTAACAGTAGACACTGGAGGGGTAATTCGATATGCTGCATGACCCACTCTATTCGGAAAATTGGAGGATTGATTCAGTTGAGTACCGTAGCTCGGATCGAGCGGTGGGCTTGGGTGGTATGGCTCGGATGGGCTGCCATACGGGAAGGTTGCCTTCAGTTCGAATGGTCGATGGACATCAGCAGAAAATGCGAAACGTAATGAATCTATTTGTGCTTGTAATTCTGGCATGGGCCAAGCAGTCGAGCATCGCTCAAGGATCCTCATGTGTCGAGTGAAATACTCCCTGGCGTCTGTATGGAAATTAGGATCTGGTGATGTTATAGCGACCTAGAGAACGGTTAGCGATAGCCCCAGGGATTGAGAAAAGAGCGTTGTGACTCACAAGGTGTAGCATTGTGCAGGTAAGGACAGTGTAGATTGTGAAATTTATGCCCCGTTGCATGAAAAGAAGGCCAGATAGGCCAAAGCGATTCAGAATGGCTTCCTGTAGTCTACATAAGTACTTGGCAGAGGAATAACACAATGCCATGTGCATCTTCCAGCCTCCCCCGGCAGTGAAAGATTTTGACGCGAGTAGCTGAGGCCGATGTAGCAGAATAATTCCAAGATGGCAGTGGGAATGCATGTTCCCAACGAAATGGGAGGGAATCCAAGGAGGTGAGCCATCAGGCGGATAATTCACTTGTAGATCAGGAGGCAGACTCTGAAGCCAGTCAGTGAACAAAGGGTTCTTCTCGACAAATTTAGGGTTCGCTCCCCAGTCTTTTTGCTTCTTGATCTTGTGGTATATGTCCGCAATGATGCGAATATGGGATGCGTTCTTAACAAAATACGCATACTGCCTAGATCGATCAATCTCAAATTCATCAAGACCCCTAATATCCAGTGTCGGACTCATGTTCACAGTGCTCGGGTCGACACCATAATCCGAGCGGCCTGGCAATGTCAGTATCCTACGAACCACGAAAGACTTAACGACATACCCTGAGGAGCACCGATCATGACCTCGACGACTAGGAGGGCTTGCCACACCCTTGTTTGCACCAAGCACTCGACAGGATTCAAATCACAGCGTCGTTCCTCCACATGAATGTTATTATGCTCATGTATATCCAAATCTTTGGCCATCGAGACAATAGTCTTGACTGTTTGCCATGAGCGGTAGTAATAGCCTTTTTTGGGCCGTGATTCTCGAGCCTTGAGAAGTAAGAGTAATGCCTGAATTGTGCTCAGCCGCGGCTCATCCATGAAGCTGGATTCGTGTCCTGGAATAAGAGGTTGGTATTAGAAACAGAGGATCCTTGACAGGCTGCAAAGAGGGGCTACACTGGCTCACTATTTGCTAACGCTAGCCATTGGGCTCCCTGAGCTGGATCATCCGACAACCTTCCAGCGCATGCAAACATGGCCTCGAGTAACAACGGTGAGATTGAGCTCCGTTCGTGCTGCCACTGGAAGTACAGATGGGACCTATGAACAACCGGAACATAAGGGTGTATGTCATCGAAGTAGATCTTGAGATATTTCATGACCTCATCATCTGACGGCATAAGCTCAGGTGGAATACGTATGGTGGAACCGGCACCAGTACTGAGAGGAGGGAGCTTCTCGTCCGCATCATCCTGAGTTGGGATTTCTGGCTCGGCTCTCTCCTTTCTTTGCTGTCTGATGTATGGCGCTGCGTGGCCGTAAGCTACCGGTTGTAACAGTTGCTAGGCTGTAAAATGCTTACCAATGCCGGTCTCATCTATCCTGAGCTCGCCGAGAACTTCACTCAGATTCTCCGCAGTTGACGGGTCATGTTCGCTAAAAACGTCCCTTTCCGTAGCGCCTAGCGTCTGCGCATGGTCACCTGTGAAGCTTTGTGGTTGCTGATAGGAGTCATGCGATACAGGCACATGCGACGGCCGTAGGTCGTAAGCGGCCGACTGACTAGAAGTGGGCTGCGCAAATTGTGTATAGACACCGAGTTCATCGTGATAAGAATCCATGTGCCCCGCAGGATGTTGTCCGCTATCTCTGAATGCTTGCGATACTGCAAACGAGGAAACCGAAGATTCTGGTGCATTAGACGTTGATAGAGAACCTCCGGAGTTTGGCTCGATACCGTGTCCAGCAAAATATTCGTTGTCTTGCCCAATCGTGGGGGGGACGCATACAAGTTTCAAGCGGGTACATGCTGAGCATGGCCATGTATTGGTCGTGGCAGCATCACATTTGATTTTCCGCTTCCTACAACCATTGCAGGCTCGCATGACTATTGATAAAGTGTTTAGTCTCAATTGGCTGCGAGGTTGTAAGAAAATAGTTTCACAGCGTACCTTTGAGTCTTTTATGCCGATTATGTTCATCGACAAAGACATAATCTGCATGCAAGCCATCAACAACTTGAAAAAGCAAATGACTAAGATGTGCGAGGATGGATGAGGTGGCAAAGACTTCAAAATGTGCAATGCGGAAGAAACCTACTTTTTTGCCCTTCTCTTGGGGCACCAACGGGTGTTGCGAATGAATAGCTCTGCATATTGGAGCACTTGAAAAAGTCACTAAAGCAGCTCGGAATGAAGCCAAGGCCAGCTCGTGAACGGCATATAACGGGCGCTGCTGCCAACTATTTTCGGAGGATGTCCGTAAGGCCTGCCTTGTCCGGATGACTCGAAATGTATTAGACAATGCGGCCGACGGAGAGCGCCTGAGACAGAACTGCAGGGGAAGCAAAGCGAAACTGATCGCTTTGCCTGACACTGAAAATATTGCGATAAAAGCAGCCCCTTTTATGGCTGTGAGTTATATGCCATGGAAGAGCCGTGTCACTAAAGCTGAGCGGGAAGTAGTATCTCTATGTCGAAAGCTGCTTGCTGGTGAAGACGCTGCACCCCACGGATTCGATCATGCATACGCTCGAACATGCAAGGTTATAGGTGCAATAATGAAGTATGCGAAAAAACTCTTGTTGTTTCGCAGTATAGACTGACCCGGACAAATGTTGCAAGTCGGCACCAGGAAGTCACAGCGTAAGTACGGACCCAAAGATGAATCGAAATCCGGACAAATATGAATGGAAGTCAGACAAGTAATTCGCAGCCCAGAGATATTTCGAGTGAATGGAAAGAAGCTGCATCCGTGGACTATGAGATGTCAGTTTTATTTTGAGACATGCGCCGCTCGGTAAAGAACATGACGCCTGACGGAAGACAAGGAGCTGAATGGAACACAGCGAGATGAACAGAAGTAGCCCGCTGGCATAGGAAGCAAGGAACATGAAAACGACCAGAGATGCCCAGAAGATGGGTATTAACTACGTGGCTGCCGGAGAGGCTGTGATGATTGCCATAACAGAAGGAGGTGGAGAGGGGCGCGAGAGCGGAGCGAGAGCGGACACAAATGGAGAAATGGTAAAGGGCGGGGGAGGGGGTGAGACGAGACAAGGGTACTTACCTTGTATCGAGGGGTACGAAGGGTTATCCAGTCTGCATTGCAGTGGAAACTACCAGTAGATTTGACCTGCCAGTGAATATTTGACTAGACAAGGAAGTGAGTATTGGCGCATCACACCCTGATTTGGCGGTCACCATCTAGATTCACCCATGAAATGCGAGCATAAGGCGGATGTGATCGGACGAATAAATGACAGGTATTTTAGCTAATCCATGGAGGTCACAGTTTATCAGTGAAGGGGGAAAAGAGATATGATCAAAGCCCTGAGTGCATTGGAGGAAACCCACTGGGGCAATGTCTTTGCAGCTAAGGCACAGGAACACTCTCTGAGCTGGGCTGGAGGAGTTGCGGCGGGAATCCATGTTAAGTTAACTTACCTACCACCTTGGTTAGGTCATCAGGTTGTGTTGCCGCCGCGATCTTCTAGGCGGCACTATCCACGTACATACTGTAGTAGGTCCAGTACATAGTACTCATTTTATCCACAAGGTTGTGTCTGAGGCTTGTTGGACCCCTTGATTACCCAGAGGACTTTGAGAAGCATCATTAGCATTATCATACCTTTTCTATGTGCAGTCACTCTGTACATAAATCCTTACACTTCTGATGATCACCACCATGGCTATCGCATGTCGGGCATGAGTACGGAGTACTCCGTAAGTGGTCTGGCATATAATTAAAGCAGATCTCGAGTCCCCATGCTTCGATGCAAGGATTTTGGCTTGAATTCACAGCGCTGCACTGATAGCACTGGGATCTCTCGCATTCCTTAGGACAGCCAGTCAAGCGTGTTGTGGTACTTATCTGGTGAATCACGGCTTTGGCCAGTGATACCAGTACACGGAAAGAAAGACTCCGTACCCTGCTTTACATCAGACCTAGTATTAGGTACTTTAGTTGGCACATGGCTTTTCCCCCTTGAAAGTATAACTAGTACGAGGTGAACGCTGCTGCTGGCACGCAGCTTGTCCGAGGAAATAGCTGGTCTACCCAGCCCTGCCAACAATTGGCTCTGGTACTCGGGCCATCATTGTTCCACGGCTTGTCGATGATGTATTGTACTCAATACCTTCGCGGAGAGACCTAACTCCGCACGCGCTTCTTGCTTCTTGCTTCAAGGATCCCGGAGTCACAGAAAACATGGCGTCCGAGGTGCAGAATTCAAACCCGACCATATTGAATGTTGCCGATCTCCCCACTCGATTGGGTTCGGCTACATTGAGCAAGGCAGACACAGACAGAGCCGAGAATCTTGCATCAATCTTTCCACCGTCTGCATATTCAAGTGATTGGCCCACCGCTCTACACTCATCTTCTGATTCCAGCGACGGAGAAGAAGAGCGAGAAGAGCCGATTGATGAGCAAGAAATTTATGGTGAGCTATTTGCTTCCTCTGGTCTCTGCGTGTGCCAGAAAAGGGGTTGACTAGGTTGTGGCCGTCAGATCTCATATCGTCAATTTCCGATCCAGAGCATCCGATATCTCTAGGAGCACTGGCCGTTGTATCCCTTCCGGATATTGCTATAAAGCCAACACTCCCCGATGTGCCTGACTCATCTCTTCGGACAGTATCTGTTCTTATAACACCAACGATCACGCATTGCAGCCTTGCTACAGTAATAGGCCTCGGTGTACGTGTTCGGCTTGAGCAATCACTCCCGCCACGGTTTCGTGTGGATGTGCGAATCAAAGAAGGCTCTCATAGCACAGCTGATGAGGTGAATAAACAATTAGCTGATAAAGAAAGAGTTGCTGCTGCGTTGGAAAATGGAACACTTATGGGTGTTATTGCAAAAATGCTCGAAACGTGCCGATGATTTAAGTGGACGTCATGATCATTCAATGTCTCTTGAACTGCAATTGTTATATTTTTGTGGGTTACATACAATGCACGGTATTCGTATGAGTGAACTTGTAATATTCTACAGATGATTTTCAAGTAAAATATTCAACAGGTAATTCCAATCAACATCATCATGACGATATCTTTCACGAGTCTAGAACTCCACTTTCCTTTAATCCCTTCCAAAGTTCTGGCTCCAAGAATTTGCTCACTGTAACATCCTCTGCCAGACCTTTACGCCTTCTAGTCTTTAGCACAAAGTCGCGGGCGGTGGCCATGGCAGGAGCCATCTCCAACGGCTTAACCTTGACTTCACGATCGAGCGGATCTCCCGGGACGACGCTCCATTTGTCAAAGACAAGACTCACGGCTGCTTGACCCTGTGTATGGATCCTAAGATCTGTCTCAAACCCGAAAGAATCTATCACTGGTACCAAGCCGCGAACGGAATATAGCGGCGTCCCTGCAATCGGCCCATCGGAAAGTACGTGCCCCCTTCTTCGAGAGAGGACCGTATACACCGAGGCGACGGCGTCTGCGGGCCCCGTCATTGTGCAAGAGTATATGGGTTCCATCAAACGTGGAGATGCCATCAGGAAAGAAGAGTAGATGGCCCGCCGGGAGGTGGGAATGATCTGACCACCTCCTCTGTAGATCGCCTGATCAGCAAGCGAGACATCCGTGAGCCTGAAACGCGTGTTGCGGATCGCTATGAACAGCAGTTAGCTATTTGAAATTGTAATCTTCTCCACATACACCAGTATACAATAGTGGTAGCGAAGAAGCACAAAAAGGAAAAGACTCACGTTCTTCACACAGAGGTCCTTCCCTCGTGCCCCAGCTGAAGCCCTGGGTAATGGAATCCCTAACACTGCTGAGGAGCTTTTTGTCAACTTGAGAAGGCAAGGTATCATCCTGCAGAACGTTTGGACCCATTTCATCTGGGCCAAATGCCCAGATGCTTCGCGCTGCCAGCTTATCCCATTCGTACTTGTCTTCGAAGAAGCGAGCCACTTTGCGGATTGGATCCTTGATACTAACTCTGCCGCTCTCGATATCCTCGGCAATCCCATCATCCAAGGGTTCGGCAATCATCGTGATCTTGTTCTTCTTGTTTGGGGTGATAGAATAGCACATGATGGCTGATGTTTCAACAACGGTTTCGCAAAACCGGGTAACAGGATCTGAGACTTTGATTTCCATCTCTGAGAATAACCTCCGAAGATCATGAAGCACACAGTCCATATAGAGCTCGCCAGTGCCTAGAAGCACGTGTTCACCAGATTCCTCTACTTTAGTTGAGACCAAGGGGTAGCTTTTGTTCACCTTACGAAGACCATCAAGCATCTTAGGCAATTCAGATGGGTTGACGGGCTCGACAGCGACCTTGAATACAGATTCAGTCATGTGCCGGATTGGGCTGAAAATGTAGGCCTCTTCGTGATCTTCGAGCTGAAGTGGCACTAGAGTCGCTGTCTTCGCAATGGAATTGTCCACGCCCCCAAGAAGAACTAGGTTGCCAGCAGGAACTCCAGTTGTGGGGATGCTGTATGCCGTTTCCGCAATCCATGTGTCGGAAATCGTTGCAACTACCATGTCTTCCTCATCTTCGGGAGTATAGCCTTCGCCAAGTACACGAACCTGTTGACTGGGGCAGACCGTGCCACTCATAATTCTCCCGAAAGCGTGAAATTTCGACGCATCCGTACTAGTAAAGAGCTTGGTGACATGCACAACAAGTGGGCCATCAGGGTCACACGCAGCCATTGCTGCTGCAATCTTTGTATCCAAGGATCCTGTGTAATACCGCTCCAGCTTCTTTTGTGCACCGTCTGCAGGGGAGGGTATGTGCTGGAGTACCATGTCCACGAATCCCGTTGCAGCGCCAAAGAATTGATCACAAACCAGGCGAAGTAGGCCTTTCGCGTCAGATCTCAAGTGCGACGGTTTGATATCAACACCGACACTAGCCAGCGTAACCTTGAGGTCTTCGGGACTTTCGCTTAACGTGTGCGAGTAAAGCTTGTAAATGGGCTCCAGAACAAACTTGACAAATGTCCTCTTTGATTCGTCCTCCAATCCTTTCCGGGTAAATTTTCGACTTCTAGGATTGTAGAAGATATCGCCCCACAGACGTAAACTGAGGTCAGATGACTCAACCTGAGGGTAGGTCTCTGCATACATCTTGGCAAACGAATGCAAGGTGAAGCACCATCCCATGGAAGCGCACGCGAAAGAAACATTGCCGCGTTCCGGGCTGAGTCGCCTCTTTTCACCTTGGCCCGGTAAAATATTCTCGATAATAGTGTTTACCTCCTCAACCACGTGCTTCAATTTGAAGTAAGCATCATTAGGAGGTATTTTGAGCTCTAGTATCAACCGATCCATTTTGTTTAGCACCAGCGTGAGTGGGAGATCTTCGAGTATAGCATGCTTGATAATCTGCTCGGTATTCGCTTGCACGCCTTCGACAACGTCGACTACGAGCACGACACCGTCAGCTAGTCGACATGCGGCCGCCACTTCATCGACAAAGTTCACATGACCCGGAGTGTCAAGAATGTTGAAAAGATGGGATTTGCCTCTTGTGCCCTGGAGGACCAAGCTCATAGGCGCCATTTTGATAGAAATACCCCTTTCTCTTTCAAGAAAGTGCACATCCGTATATCGAAGCTGCTCCTCCTTTCGTCTGCCGGCTCGTTTCTCCAGACGATCAGCTAAATCATGGGTCTGCGTAACAAGCATGTCCATAAAAGCTGTCTTGCCGTGATGTAGATGACCGACAACTGCTATGTTCCTTATCTGCTCAGGGAAATTGAGCAAGTCCATCATGAACTCTCTGGAGTAATGGACCTGCGGCAGCTCAGCTTCTTCGATTGCGAATTTCTTTTGTTGGACGGGCGCAATTATAGGCTCAGAGAGAGGCTGTGCGTCCTCCTCTTGAACAAGGGTTTCAACATCCTCCCCGTACACTTGCTGGGCACTCGGGTAATACTGTTTATCTTCATGAAGGATGACGGCATTTGAGGGACCTTCTAATAGACGGCTTAGTACGATTGTGCTTCAATTGCGAACCGGGTAAACACGTACCATCCACCTCCATCAACTGATGCTCACTGGCTTCCCCCTCTTCATCGCCCGCGAAAGCCTCCTCAAATTGGAATGCTTGGGGCTCAGCACCTTCATTAAGAGCAGATTCCTCATCCGATTCTCCCACTTCACCAATATAGTTGCCAAATCTGGGAAGTTATCCGTCAGCTGCATATCTTGATGGAGTGAATATCAGGGACCTACTCATCGTAAAGATCGTCCATTGCGATATGAATCTATAGTCGGAAGACAGACTGTCTCGCAAGATTCACAAAAAAGTCAGCAGTGTTGATACTGACAGTGCATTTCTTTTTCGGGGATGTTGATTGGGACGATCAGCCAATCTTTTATTTTGTCTGGCCTTGAGCGCTCCTCGGTTGAGTTTGACGTCAGGTTCCCTTTCTTGTTTTGTTTTTGCCTTTCTTTATGATGTGATTTTGTTCTTGTTAAGGCACTCCACTCCGTCCTTCTGCTTCTTCCCTGCTATCGAGCTGTTGAGGTTGTGCCTAGATTGATACGTACGAGGCAAATCCCGGCCCGAGCTTGGCGTCCTGCTTTGCTTGAGTTCCCTCCGTAAGTGGTACGTTTGTCCGTTGGCCCGCCCCTCCCCGAAAGCCCGTCCGATGCTGGCCGCTAAGTTACGCTTGGGCAGGAGTAAGTGGGGTGCTCCGTACAACGTGAAGAGTTTCCGTTTGTCTCACCGATCCCGCTTGACATTTCATATTTACCCCTACAGACTCACTTTCTTTGCTCTCCTTTCAGCAGTCCCTAAAGGTCTGGTATTTCACTGAATTTAGCTCACTGTCTAGTCAGTACAGATTTTTTTCTTCTCCGGACCATAACCTGCACGGTAAAACTGTACATCATGTCTTCGCTTCCTCCTGTTTATATTGTTTCGGCCGTGCGGACCCCTGTGGGCTCATTTTTGGGGTGAGTCTTCACCAGGATACCGTTAATGTACAATGGTTGAACCTCAACTCACACACTCTTACCTTTTACATAGTTCTTTATCAAGCCAGACTGCCCCGCAGCTGGGCTCCCATGCGATCAAAGGTCTGACATACCAGTTACTCCAGTCTCGGTGCCGAAACTGACAGGACTCATGATTAGCGGCCCTTAACAAAGCCGATGGTATTAACCCATCGGATGTTCAGGAAGTATTCTTCGGCAACGTTCTCTCTGCAAAGTGAGCTACTTCCCACTTAGATTGCCTCTGCTCATGAATGGTCTTCTAACACGTCCTTACTAGTGTTGGTCAGAATCCCGCTAGACAGTGTGCTCTTGGGGCTGGACTTGAAGAGTCTACGGTGTGTACCACGGTCAACAAGGTTTGCGCATCTGGTCTGAAGGCAGTTATTCTTGGAGCCCAAACAATCATGACCGGTAACGCGGATGTTGTTGTGGCCGGTGGCGCCGAGTCCATGTCGAATGCCCCACACTATCTCCCAAATCTTCGCACTGGGGCCAAATATGGCCATCAAAATCTGGTGGATGGCATCATGAAAGACGGCCTGACCGATGCAGGCAAGCAGGAACTTATGGGTTTGCAAGCCGAAGAATGTGCACAAGACCACGATTTGAGCCGGGAACAGCAGGATAACTATGCTATCCGGACCTACGAAAAAGCTCAGGCTGCACAGAAAGCCGGTCTTTTCGATGACGAGATTGCACCTATCGAATTACCTGGATTCAGGGGCAAGCCGGGTGTCACGGTGTCCCAGGATGAGGAGCCGAAGAATGTAGGTTCTCACAGAATGCTTTTTTGTACACACACGGGCTGATGTTGTATTTTTTCTCCCTTTTAGCTTAATCCTGACAAGCTTCGGGCTATCAAGCCTGCTTTCATTCCTGGGTCGGGAACTGTGACAGCCCCTAACTCCTCCCCTTTGAATGACGGGGCCGCGGCTGTCGTTTTGGTTTCTGAAGCAAAGGTTAAAGAGCTTAACCTCAAACCCGTTGCTAAAATCCTTGGATGGGGAGATGCCGCTCATCAACCTAGTAAATTCACCACTGCACCCGCTCTCGCAATTCCCAAGGCACTCAAACATGCAGGTGTTGCCCAGGATGCTGTGGATGCCTTTGAGATCAATGAGGCATTCAGCGTGGTTGCTCTGGCCAACATGAAATTGCTCAACATTCCCGAAGAGAAGGTCAACATTCATGGCGGTGCTGTTGCTATCGGTCATCCCATCGGTGCCAGCGGTGCCCGTATCTTGACTACCTTGCTTGGTGTTCTTAAAGCTCGGAACGGCAAGATTGGCTGTGTGGGAATTTGTAATGGAGGTGGTGGCGCGAGCGCCATGGTTGTGGAATCTCTTGTCTAATGTTCGGAAGCGCAATTGGTGAGCCACTTGAGCTCATGGCCATTCTTGTTCAGAAGGAGACCGACGAGCCCCTTACGAGTGGTCTGCTAACAATTTATTCTCCCGCCAAATGTTGGTTTCAAGATGCTAGACATCATATAGCAACGTTTGTTTCCGAAGAAAACAATCCTTAAGCATTTCTGCCTAATTCTCTGACATTAAAGGCCGTAGTGCGGAAGCTATGTCCAAAAGTTATACAGGCCATGGCCTTGCCTGAAGCACTATCCTATGTTGGACCACGCAAGGACCTCCCGAAACAGTTATGGGAACACATAGCTCAAAGAGATCTAGGAAATATTGTGCAGTGGAAAAGGACCAGAGAATATGGCTGGCACTAACGAGTGTCGCGAGAACCACATGTATTGACCTATTTCACTCTGTTTCATCTAATAGGTGCTAGATAAGTTTGATGGAACACCAGACTCTAACCTGTGTCTCAATATTCAGTGGGAAAAGTGACTACGTACTCGAGAGTAAGGTGACAGGAGTCCTTGAGGATGAAACCTAACTACTTAAGCGAAGGCGCCAACGACCGCCATCAATAAAGCTCCAGCCAGCACTGCAACACAGGCCTCGATGCGTCTCCTTCCTCTAAGTGTTGCGTAACTGGTTTCACTTAAAAAATCTTCTGCCAGAAGTTCAACAAGACCTGCGAACAATAGAAGACCACTGCTGATGGCATTCGTGATCCCAACCATAAGTAGCCCCGTAGTGCTTGCTGGGTCATAGAAATTATGCAGTATGAGGCCGATGGCTTGTCCGATAGGGGTGGTAGTTCCGTAGGCGAGAGACATCAGCCATGGTTTCATGGAAGACGGGGCAAAGAGGTCTGGAATGAGCGACGCAATTCTTGAGCCCAGAGCAAACCCCTCGAACGTCTGATGAAAGCAGATCGCGACGAGGAGGACAATGAATGAAGTACCTGTGGCAACACTGAGGGCCATCCCAATAAAAATGCTATGAAAAAGAATCCCCGCCTCCAGCAGTAGACATTGCAGTAGCTGTCGCTGCGGATTATGTCTAGATGATTCCATGTTCGTCCTTTGGTGCAGATCAGCGCGAGTTTGTCGGTCGCTAGAAGATGAGCGCCGATGCATTTGATCACTCTTCCTACCCAAAGGAGAAGTAGCGTGATGGTGTGGCCGGGCAAAGTCTATACCATCACTCAACTCAGTAAGCCGCAGAGTGCTAGACAGAGTAGGCTCGTTGGTTGAGCTTCCGATATTAGAAATTGACGATGGTGGTACCGCGTCTGTGCTATGATACGCCTCAAGCCTACCAAGATAAACATGACCTCCGGGCTCGTGTTCGTTCTCTAAGTCATCATGCAGACCCCTACTTGCCAAGTCTATACCGACATCATTCATTAGCTTGTCGTATTCACTCCCGTGAACATGACCTGCCCCCTTCAGGGCGAAGAACATTTCCACAAGCACAACAACAAAGACCGAAATCATGGCGACAAATCCAGCCATGGCACGGTATGTTTCACTCCAAAAGTGAGGAAGACAGGGGTCAGTCAAGGAAATGAATGCCGTGGGCAGCAAATGGACAAAGGCAGTGGCAATCAAAACTCCTGTTCCAAAATGCCTAGATATAAAAAGAAACCGACGCGGTATTGGTAAACGGGGGAATCGGCGGGCAAGTACAGGGAATGAACAAGCTTGTATCTATGGTATTAGTCTCTGGGATTTGAACTGTACTGCACAAGAGAAGATAAGACATACCAAGTGTGCTTAACACAAGTATAAGAAAAAGTGCTAGGACATGGATTGGAGTGTTATAAGCACCTCGTTCTTTTGAGCCACAGGTTGCAGCACTGTCATTTGAGGTTCGCCGTGCTATTTCGGCCCGTAGAAGAGTATCAGGGATACTCGCAATCAACAAACTGGCATTTCCGAAGCCTGCGACATTAGCAAATGTCTATCAATTGCTATTCAGGAAACGCAACAACATGCAATGACAATTTCATCGTGGTGCTCGATTGATCTCACTTTGCTTATAGGGTGTACTATGACTCACTGATATGGCTGATATCAGCCTGCTCCCATGATGAAGTTGGGTTCATTCTTGTCTAAAGCCCGTGGAAATTCCGACTTCCGCTATATCCATGACCTTATGGCAGACTTTGGGCGTGCCGTCTGCTTCGGCAAGGTCTCGAGTAAAAGTGAGGGACGACACAAACGATGTCCAGCTGATCAACGGACGCTCCAAGTGACCTGTCTAGGAAAGGGCATATGAAGTTGGTTTCTACCTTTGTATCAAAGGCACATTTGTGCAGGATTGGTGTCGGAATTACTCGGTGTAAACGAGTTTACTTTCTGATCGTCTTATCTTCCCAGCCTGATTATATAATACCGGCCCAAATAGACTAAGTAATCACATTACATACCGCGGACCTATGGGTACGTGAACACAGTTCATCTGAACCTTTTTTTGAGCTTATGTGGAACGTTCCCGCGGCACGTGATGACAATTACTTTACATAAGCAGAAACGTTCCACACAATCCTATATATTACTGTTTTTTATTATTAAAATTTAAATTCTTCTTATATTCTTAGATACTCTTACATATACTACTTCTAAGTTATTTTAAGTTATTTCTTAAGTACTTGAAAAATAACTTAAAATAGTATGTGTAAGAGTATTGAAAAGGGTGATCTGGAATAAAATTTTCTGTTTGTATAGATAATAGAATTACTTGGAGCCACGTGATAAAGCTGCTTATTCAGCAGTTTTTGTTTCACGCGACCCGAAAAAGCAGTGCAGCCGATCTGCAACCACTATGGGTACGGAGTATGTACTACTGTTGCTATAATTAGCTACGCGGCGTCAGCAAAGTCTCAAGATCCTGCCAGAGTACGTAGTTCCAATCAGATTCAGTAGTAGTATCCCATGTACCATATTAAGATAGGCAGTTTTGGCACTGGTACTAGGCCATCATGACTTAAGATTATTAGTTTAGATCTACCCCGTACGGAGTATAGTGGGATAAAATAAGTTCGTAAGACCCCTCGCCCCAAACTAGTTGGTTCAGAAACGCTACACCTATGCACTGTCTACCTGGTCGCTATTCTATAATAATCTGTTTGACCATGAGCACCTCACCGTGATTCTGCCCGCAGTATGAAGGTATTGCTACTAGGTACTCCGTAGGTAGTCTTGTTTAGACAATTGATGAGTCATCTGAAAGAGGGGGGTGCAAACATTTCTAAAGGTAAAAGTCACGTTACTCTAGCCGCTGCTCTATGCTTCTCGATTTACAAACATATGTGATACCGATATTTGCACTTGAACTTGAATGCTTATTGGCTTCCATCATGGATATACTATCTGCTTCTCAACTTGGTCCAGCCACTCATGCCTTTCAAGCGGGAAGTGATGCCAGCACCACTTGAAATCTCCAGATCACATGTTTCCGAGACTGCATCTGCGTCGACAGATCCCATTTTGTAGGTACTAACCGGAATGATAGAAGAAGATTGAGACACGGAACTGCTTCGGCCATGAGCCATGTCATCCAACTCGCGCCTTTCGAGTAACTCCCATTCTGCACTCGCCAATTCTCCCATCAATGTCGACTTCAGCTTATCTATGACTCTGGTCGGAGATGGAAGCCTCCAAGTGCGCATAAACTCTGCACCTTCGGCAGCACCCAGGAATGAATGCGCAGTGCCGTGCGAATAGTGTCCCAGCATAGGGAATGACACAGTTCGTTGAATACTAGTCTTAGGTGAGACTTTGGATGTCTTCACCTTTACGTGAATATCTCGACCAGCAAACGCTCTCATTAGCGTTGATTGCTGCGCGGGAGGTGCCACAAGCAATTGCCATAGATTTTTTCCCATGTCGCAGATTTCTTCCCAAGACTCTGACATTGAATTGAGCCCCTGGGTGCGGCAAAGCCAAGCAACATTCCAAGCCAGCAATGTCGCTCCTTCGAGAAAGAGGGCGTACGTGCCAGGATCCTCCTTCGCTAATCTGGGAAGACTTTTGTCGATGGACAAAGGCCTTGGCCGAGGCAGACGGTGTGTGTCAAGTTGCTGAGGTTCCATTGGATCAGGCGCTGGCTGCTGTGCAGAAGGCAACTTCGAGCCTACATCCCTTGGAAGGTACGATGCAGAGGGCGCAAATATAGTTGGCAAAGGATAATTCCGGTGAGGGAGCGTAATTTCTGCTGGAAGTCTTAGAGATAGATAGTGGGAGATGAGGACAAGTAGTTGTGCGATATATGAGAGTGCCGTTGAGATATGGGCTGGTGAGACGCCTACTTGAAGAATTAATAAATTAAACATATCTAGCCATTACCCCAGGGTATACTTTCCATTCATATGCCTGAGATCGACCAAGTGCATACCGCCGATCGTATAGGTCTCTTGTACTGCACCGTCAACCCTTCTCACCCCCTGTCGCAAATCGTAGAGGTTGGCTGCTTCTCGGCACAGAAATATCCGTGCTTCTGTGGTCTTGCTGTGAAGCGAGTGCCAGAGATGATCAGTCCTTTTAATACTGTTCTGAATACTGGCCAGGATTGCTGTCTCTCGCTCGAAAAGCTGATACTTTGCAGATTCTGCGTCCGATTGCCGCCGTGCTAAAGATACCCTGCGGCGGGAGATTTCAAGTCTTTTTTCTCTGATATCACCAACTAGCCCCTCGATGTGGCTTGTAAGAAGTGTCACTTTCGCGGATGACCCAGCTTCCTTTTCAACGATCCTCCGTGAAACCCAGGACGGAAACACTCCATCGAGGCAGACATCCGAGATGCTCTCATTTTCCGTCGGGTCTTCGCCTAGCTTGCTCAGTAACACTGCAGCCTCGATTTGTTGTTTTATAGACTCCTTCTCAAGTAGCAGTTCGGAATACTCGATCCGTAGCTGGTAGAGCCGATTGCGAGCACAGGTGGAACAGATGCACCGTAGGTTTGAAGTCGGAGGGCGGGAACATATGTGACAGCTCATTTCAAGAAACTCCGATCCTTAGGAAGGCTGAACATTGGGGGTGACACTGGTGTGGTTCTGTATTGCGATAGCTTTCAAGTAAATGGCTATAAGTCAAGTTCTCTGATATAATACCCATGCGTGCCGACTTGGAGGGAACGAATCCCTCATGACTTGTCGAAGTCTAGTGGCGATCACATAGAGCCGCAGAGGTAAGTTGACAGGCAGTAGTCAGTCAGTCCCAAAGGGAAGAACGGTTTGCTGCTTACGTCACTTGCTAAGTCGAGTTAGTTAACGCAAAGTCCGAAGCTTAGATCAATTACCGTACCCATTCCGCACAATACCTCAGACTGAAGATTGGGTAGCAATCTCAAGTTACTTGTAAAGAGGATGGCTATTGGCACCGGCTGGAATTCTAATGGCGCTGTTGTTGTACTCAAAGCACAAGTCTCTGCGTTGGAATCCTCTTACGTCAGGAGATATAGTTATCAGTGATTATTAGGGTTTTTAGTAGCCGAAGATATTGCTGTTGAGGTGTTCTATAAGCAAGTCTTGTTTTATTGCTTTTGTCAGGATTATTAGAGTCTATATCATTATTACTTATTCTATTATGTATCTGTATATGAGAATACAGAGAATACAGTACTTAAAGGCTCTAACTTACCGCCCATCATAGAAAGTTTACATGAAGTATTAAAATTACAGTAAGTCTTAATAGCATTTATCACCTGTAAACATACTACCACTGCATAGGTATAATCATAATTACCATCTGACCATTTTATAGCTGAACGAAGCTGATTCTATATGACCACCCACAATTTCATCCCTGAAAATCGAGTCTGGTATCTATGTCTCTCTCTTATAGATACTGCCCATGAGACCACAAAGAGACTTATGTAGAAGTATTATAACTTAGGTGTCAGCAGTATACCTATTGGAAGCTGACCGCTTCCCCTTTCTTCCTTTTGTTTCCCTCCAACCTCATTCCTGATCAAACCTGCCATCTTTGAGCGGCTGCGCTTGACAGTCTTTTTGATGATCACCTCACCTTAGGCTGAAACTGTGGTTTTAGACTCAATATCACCAGTCCCTATGCAACATTCAAGCACGGAAATGGAGTTGACAATGCCTTGTTCGCAGGCGCAGGTCCACTCACATATTGAGTGTCATGAAGCTGTGCAAATGGAAGCTTTCCCCATCAGCAACTTAGATGCATATAACTGGAAAGAACTTGAGAACAGATATAACAAGGCCATGGAGCAACACAAAGAAGCAGAAAATGCCCTCCAGAACCATATCTTGAGAATGCTAGAGGTTGTTCATGTGGTTCTTTGTGTTCACATGATGTTGTTCTAATTTCTGCATAGATTTTCATGGCATGGTCTCAAACCACTATTACCCGCGACGAAACAAGAGCCTTCAAAAGGTTTTCTTCCTATCTCGTCTCCAAGAGGTGAGATATTGACATATCAATTTTAGATTCAAGACCCAGATGCAACATGTTCAGAATTCCGAAGCGAGCTTAGAGAATAAGAAGCGGCATTGTATAGCCCTGATAACACCTTCTTGTCAATGAGGCCGTGCTGATCAGGGGCTTAGATACCGATGTTGTCAAGGCATTTGAGAGTGCTCTCGCATTGCTGGACGACCGTCTTTAGACATGCACATGGCCACAAAATCGAGCCCGGTCGTTTGGATCACACTCCTGTTCCTCCTTTGCTAATTGCCCAGCAATGGTGGGCCATCCTTGTGGGCGACCCAGGAGAATCTAGCCATATGATGTTACAAATACGTGTCACTGCTGCTCGGCTTTCTGATGACTGGGTTGAGTTCTTGCTTGGAACGAGATACACAAGCATTGTTATCCTACACTTCTGCTGCCATCCTGCCTGTCCATCCTTCGTACAGTGTCATCCAACCCAGTATTGCCACGCCTTCCGGTGCTCGCTAGGAGATTCTCCTCCTCGGCTACCTCGGCTTCCTCGTTAAGTAAAAGCTCGTCTTGTCGTGGTGAGCGAATGATGAACGTGACAACAACGAGTAAATAAAAACCTGTGATACACAAAAAGGTCAATAATATGGATCTCGCTGGGATGCGGGAGTAGAATAGTGTTACTTCCTCTAAATGACCGGGTTTGACCAGCTTTCCGGCTCTGGGGGGTCGTTGCCAACCCTCCTGAGCCAGTCCGGAGGCCTCACCGAGCCATTCAATCGGTAGTAGCGACGGGCGGTGTGTACAAACCTATGAACATGAATTGAGACCAGAAAAGTATCACCCCAAAGAAGGGAAACTTTGTTGTCACATGATTCACAAATGTGCTAGCAACGCTAGGCGTACAAGATTGCCTTGCAGCTGTATTGTCTGCAATGTCCGAACATCGTTTCATGAGTTGCGTGTTATCTGAGCAATCTGGATGCCCTTCAGGGGTTGGCGGGCGATCACAAAAAGTTTGAGAACCAAATAATGCGTACTGCGGGGCCACATTCATGGACAAAGAATAGTTGAGTGTTAAAATGGTCAGCATCAAGATCACCGTTGTCAGCAGAAGAGCCTGCGGAGATGTATGGCCTCTTCTGATCCGAAATATTGTCATCCAGAGGAATCGAATACCTATTGTAGCGATCCCGAATACTGAGCTGGAGAAGAGAAGTAAAGTGAGTACCGTGAACATGATGTAGTCGATTGGAAATATCATCGCCGATTGAACCAGGACCCAATCTATCGGATTGAACGTATGCATATGTTTGAGGAGGTATCCGCAACGGTGTTTGCAGAGCGAGTTGCTGGCCTTGTCGATAGACGTCAATAACATGGATATCAATATAAGAAGCGCGATTAACAACAAGCCAATGCCGCCCAATACTCTCAATGGACGGCATGTAGCCTCGGCTTTTAGCGACAGTTTGACGACCCAGTCTCGGTGCTCCGCGTGTGCTTCGTCTGCTAGGCGCTGGCGCCGGATTAATGTCCTCTCCTCTCGAACAAGGGTATCCAATTCTCTACGATCCTTGGAGGACAAAAGCCCAGAATTTCCTCCGCAGCGCCGATCCAATTGGCGTTGGCGTTCTCTGTTGGACTCAAGCTGCATGGCGATGGCAGCTTTCCATGTATCCTTCGGTGCTGACGGAACTCTGACTGCCTGCAGAGGGAGAAGAGCAAGGCCCGTGGACGTATATAGGACATAAAAAGGCACTCCGATTGTCATAAGTACTCCAACTGTAAACACAAGGGCCCGCTCGCCTCCTATATATAAGCAAGTCAAGAGTCAGCTTCGCAAAGGGAATAGATCAAGATAGTATTTTGCTCGAGGTAATCAAGGGGCAACAAAGCTCAAAAAGGAAGCGAAGGGCATACGATTTTCGACCATTGAGGCCGTAAGAGGTTCACTTTCAGTGACATTCTCGACGTTCGACATAGGAACAAGAGAGCCGACCAGAAGTAGCACTGCCAGAATTGCGACAAAAGATATAGTATATTTGAGGGCAGCCCAGAGTCGTTGGGCCGAGGTTTGTTCACCTGCTTCAGTAGCAACCTCATCATACTCTTCGTACCAGAAATATATAAACGGGATGACTAAAAGGCATAGGATGGCATCAAGTGAATAGAGTAGATAGTATACGACAGTCAAAGAAAGAAGAACATTGTCGACATCATTTTGGGCGGCCCAACCTTTCCTCTGGCCCAGACTTGATGACGTCGCTGAAGAGACCAGAGCAACATCAACTGGCAGTAGGAGAACAGTTGCAAGAAGACTTGTGATGGTAAAAATACAAGTTAAGGTCACAGCGCGCGAACGATCTCGTGGGGCTTGATAAATGTGGATGAGGAACCAGGCTACCAATACCGCAAGGACTATCGCAATGGCATATATGACCCAAATGAGGGACGTTTGTAGTGAAGCCATTTGGTATAATTCAGTAGCTCACATGAAATGTATGCGGATTATGAGACAATCGAAGTGAAGAAGTCAACACATCAAGCAACGCCCGTTCTACTTACAGTACCATTGAACTGAATGTGAGCGTAGGCCAAGCGTCCCCGTAATCTAGCGAAAAGAGCCGAGTTGGTTAGTTAGTAAAGCTATAACTTGACTAGGCCCGTTCAGTGGCGTCTTACATCATCTGATAGATTTGTCACGTGAATTATCACTCTGTTTGATCCGAGCCTAGTGTTTTTGTTGAAGTTCCGGACGTACCTTTCGACTCACGCCAATTTTCTTTGTATGCCCTTTGTTGTGCCACAGACCTGTTCTTCGCCCCTTACCCTGCCTCGCCTTTGATATCAGGCAATGTTGAGGAAACGGCAAGGCAGTTAAAGCAGCCGGGTGGCTGGCCAGACCCTTTATACTAAAAAGACGACCGCAGATCTCGCTCAACATTGCAGATGCAGTGCTATTCCGAATTGCTGGCCCCCACTGGGGTCACTCATGCATTGGCACTACCTTTCCTGACTGAATCATCTACAAATCTCGTTGTCGTGAAGACCTCTTTACTCCAAATCTTTTCTTTGCAAAGGAACCCTTGTGGTCTACAACGAGTGGATGGGCAGCTCAGTGAACAAACAACGAAACTGGTTCTGGAGAAGGAGTACCCCTTAGCTGGCACAGCAACCAACCTGTGCCGGGTCAAAATTTTGAACTCAAGAAGCGGGGGAGAGGCCATTCTCATCGCGTTTCGCAATGCCAAACTCAGCTTGATTGAATGGGATCCGGAACGCCGTGGTATCTCAACAATCTCGATTCATTATTATGAGCGGGATGACTTGACCCGTAGTCCCTGGGTCCCTGACTTGAGCAGCTGTGGCAGCATTCTTAGTGTGGACCCAAGCAGTAGATGTGCGATATTCAACTTCGGGATCCGGAGTTTCGCCATCATTCCTTTTCATCAGCCAGGGGATGACTTGGTGATGGATGATTATGACTCAGACTTAGAAGGACAGAATGCAGGAAGCCACAGCTTTGGGGATAACGATCGTGAAAAGGCCAATCCGGCCACAATATATCAAACCCCGTATGCTCCATCCTTCGTCTTACCATTGAGTGCACTGGACCCAACAATTCTGCACCCAATAAGTTTCGCATTTCTATACGAATATAGGGAACCGACTTTTGGAATACTGTACTCGCAGGTTGCGACGTCTAGCGCACTCCTACAAGAAAGAAAAGACATTGTCTTCTATTCCGTGTTTACTCTCGATCTGGAACAGCGAGCATCCACCACCCTGCTTTCAGTATCTAGGTTGCCCAGCGATCTCTTTAAAGTGGTAGCACTCCCACCTCCTGTTGGCGGCGCTTTGTTGATTGGGTCCAATGAGCTGGTGCATGTTGATCAGGCCGGTAAGACCAACGCGGTCGGAGTCAACGAGTTTTCCAGACTGGTCTCGGCATTTTCTATGTCGGATCACTCAGATTTGGCCCTGCGTCTAGAAAACTGCGTTCTTGAGACTTTGGACGACGGCAGTGGTGATTTGCTGCTGGTGTTATCGACAGGAGACTTCGCGATTGTGAAATTTAGGCTCGATGGCAGGTCAGTCTCTGGAATTTCAGTACACCCCTTATCCAGTCACGCCGGGGTTGTTTCTATGAAATCAGCTGCTTCCTCCTCAGCGTCTATTGGTGAAAGTAGGGTTTTCTTAGGCAGCGAAGGTTCGGACTCTATCCTTCTAGGTTACTCCTTCGCATCCTCGAGCTCGAAAAAGCTTCGGCCATTGTCGAAAGCTATGGATGATTCTGTGGACATGGACGATGACCAGAGTGAAAACGATGTTTACGAAGACGATTTGTATGCCACATCACCAAAATTGGCTCCGACTGGTGGTTCCACAAAGCTTGAACATACTTCTGGTATACGTTACTTTCGCGTCCTCGACAGACTCATCAACATCGCCCCTGTGAGGGACATTGTCCTAGGCAGGCGCTCCGTGGTTGCGGAAACGGAATATAATCATTCCGAACATGAATCTGCTAGGTTGGAACTAGTGGCAGCTCAGGGCTCTGATAGTGGCGGTGGTTTGATAGCACTGAGTCGCGAACTTGATCCTGATGTGATACACTCCGTTGAAGTTGAGGCTGCGGAATGTCTCTGGACAGCTTCTGTAATTCAAGGCATAAAGGCGGCAACCGGCATTTCGGACGACTGTCGATCTCAATCACGCCATTTTGTCATCGCTTCTCGCACAAAAAGCGTCGATAAAGAAGAGTCTCTTGTTTACTTGGAAGATTCCGGTGTCTTGAAACCCTTCAAAGCCACTGAGTTCAATCCAAATGAAGATGTGACTATTGAAATCAACACCTTGATGGATAACAAGCGGGTAGTTCAAGTCCTGAAAAACGAAGTTCGAACTTACGATAGCGGTAAGCCCCCGGCCCAATCTAGTGCTGGAATAGTTGCGCTGATGAGACATAGATTTGGGTTTAACCCAAATATATCCCATCTGGGATGATGACACCAATGATGAACGGATGGCTATTAGTGCCAGCTTTGCAGACCCCTGCCTTGCAATTCTTCGGGATGACTCAACGTTATTATTTCTTCAATCCGACGAAAGTGGGGATCTTGACGAAGTCGTCCTACATGAGCAATTCGCAGTAAAAAAATGGATCTCCTGTAGTCTTTACTACGACAAGACTGGCACATTCTCTGCTGTCGACTCAGCTTCCAAAGAACCGGGCGTTCTCTATTTATTCCTCCTGGACCAGGATTACAAATTCTATGTAGGTACACCGTGTGTATTCAAATTTCTTGAGCTGGTTGGCTGGCTGTATACACCACCGATCGTTTGCTTACCTGATGCTCAGATGTACCGCCTTCCCGATCAAATCCTGGTGACTATTATTGAGGGAGTTGCCGGGCTGCCACCAATCTTGTCCTCCGAAGCCCCAAAGCGATCTGGGGCACGAGAGTCATTGACCGAGGCTATTGTTACCGACCTTGGGGATTCCTCTAGCGCCTCGCCATACTTGATTGTATGCTCAAGTGTTTCCGTGTACACTACACTTGATCTCCCATGCTGACGCGTTCTTATCATTTAGTTGCGGTGCCAGAACGACGGCATTAACATATATAAACCATTTTTCGTCTCCACGGGTGCCGGAGATGGAAAACCCAGCCTGCGATTCTCGAAGGAGGTCAACACAGTTCTTCCGAAGGTACCTTCTCGTGGGGGCGTAGAATCGGCTGACAAAGGTCAATGTAAAGCCCAACCATTGCGTATCCTTCCCGACTTGTTCGGGCTTGCCACCGTCTTCATGCCCGGGGCTTCGGCTGGTTTCATCGTGCGGACATCTACCAGCTCGCCGCATTTTGTACGCTTACGAGGGGATTATCCACGAAGCGTGAGCATTCTTAACCCTCTGGCGTCGATTAGCCGTTTCGCCTATCTAGAATTGAATGTAAGTCTCAGAACCCAGACTTTGAGCAGGTGCAACTCTTTCTACCCGAGAGGTGATAAGCTGACCCGCTGAAGGGCACCATTCGTCTGTGTCAATTGCCCCGTGGCATGCTGTTTGATCACAAATGGCCTTTGCGGAAGGTACCATTGGGTGAACAAGTTGATCACTTAGCCTACTCGTCCTCGTCAGGAATGTATGTACTGGGGACTTGCCAAAAGACAGAATTTAAACTGCCCGAAGACGACGAACTGCATCCCGAGTGGCGCACCGAAGGTTCGTTGTCTTTGCGTGTTTTCAGAATGCATGCTAAATGCCATCAGTTGTTTCATTCCTGCCTGAAGCGCATAGAAGCTCTCTGAAAATAGTTAGCCCGAAGACATGGTCTATTCTTGACAGGTGAGAGGAAGCAATGGAAGGTCTATTCGATTACGAGAAGTACTGACATTTCCTTGTGACTCCCAAGTTATTCTTTGGATGCTAGTGAGTATGTGATGGCCATGAAAAATATCAGTCTCGAAATTTCGGAAAACACCCGAGAACGCAGAGAGATGATAGTTGTCGGGACGGCGATTGCGCGCGGTGAAGATATACCATCGCGAGGTTGCATATATGTCTTCGAGGTGATCAAGGTGGTTCCGGACCCCGATAATCCCTCATTGGACCGCAAATTGAAACTCATCGGCAAAGAATTGGTAAAGGGTGCTGTAACTGCACTGTCTGAAATTGGCGGTCAGGGTTTCATTATTGTCTCCCAAGGGCAGAAATGCATGGTCAGAGGTCTCAAAGAGGACGGCAGCCTTCTTCCAGTGGCATTTATGGATATGCAATGCTATGTCAGTGTTGTGAAAGAGCTGAAAGGCACTGGTATGTGCATTCTGGGAGATGCCACGAGAGGGCTGTGGTTCGCTGGCTATTCGGTACGTTTCTTCATGCCTGAACATACCGCCGCCGATCTAACAACTGATGTGTTTCCAGGAGGAGCCGTATAAGTTAAGTCTGTTCGCCAAAGACCTGGACTATTTGGAGGTGGTAGCCGCAGACTTCCTTCCTGATGGCAGAAGGCTGTTCCTCGTCGTGGCTGATAGCGACTGCAACATTCACATATTACAATATGACCCCGAAGGTAGGCAACACTGTGGTTGGCGTTCTCGGGGAGAACTTTGACTGACTCAGAAGCAGACCCCAAGTCCTCCAATGGGGACAGACTACTCAGTCGTAGTAAATTCCATACGGGCAACTTTGCCTCTACGCTAACACTGCTTCCACGTACGATGGTTTCGTCAGAATCGCTACTTTCTCAACAGGATGACATGGACCTGGATCACCAAGCACCGCTCTACCAGTCTCTCATGACATCACAAAACGGATCTATCGGCCTCATAACTTGCATTCCAGAAGAGGCATACCGTCGACTGTCCGCTCTGCAGTCCCAATTGACTAACATTCTTGAGCATCCTTGCGGATTGAATCCTCGCGCTTTCCGCGCCGTTGAGAGTGACGGTACTGCGGGAAGGGGGATGCTGGACGGCAATTTGTTAAACCAATGGCTCAATCTCAGTACACAGCGCAAAACGGAGATAGCAAGCCGCGTTGGCGCAAACGAATGGGAGATCAAGGCGGATTTGGAAAGCATAGGGGGCGATGGACTTGGATATCTCTGATGCGGTTGTATTTTCGGGTGTCTCATGCAAGCAAATTAAGTTGACGCGGACTTGCAAGCGCTACGTCGGTCTTATTTCCAAAGAGCCGACTGCTTCTTGGCCCACAACGATGTGATGTATGTGCAGCCCCGCTCACTTTTCAGTACCGCAAGCCTAGAAACCTATGTCCGCTGCACGCAGTGTATGGCAAATTCACGACTCATTACATTCCTAGTCCTTTGCATCCATCTCGCAAGCGAATGAGACTTAGCTGGCTTCCTGAATCAGTAACCCGACACTTTATCAAGCTGCTTTACAACACCCAACCCGCAAGATAACAAGTTTATGCAAGGACGACGTGGAGTCAAACATACGACCGGTAAATGCGGTCTATAAATTAACGATTCATAGTGACAAAAATAGTGCGGTAAGCAGGCAGGTAATAAGCCTGGCACCCGAGCATCTGCAAGATAGATAGGCAAGAAATAACATAAATGAAAAGCCGAAAGGAAACGAAAAAGAGCTTATAGTCAACAAGAACACCAATCAAGAACCCCCAAACGCCATGATGAAAACATCGAACAAGCAGAAACTCCAGCATGCCCTAGCATGCCCCAGTCCGTCCCCGTTTGATCCGGGAGTTAACTTCCATAACCGTACACCCCTATATATGTTCCTGAGAAATCTATGTGTCAGTCGTGTTCCAAGAGAGAAGCCATCCGAAGAGGTTGCATATTGTCGGCGACAAGCCTGATAAAGTAGGGAAGATTGGAAGAACAAACACAGCATCCCAAGACGATGAAGCACGATGGTGGATAAGGTTTCCATACAAGTGAGGGGGCATATCGCAACCCATTCTCTGCTGCTTTGGGAGGGGGAACTTTTGCTCCCAGTCTATATTTTCGGGTGCAGTGCTATCGCTCATGGACTAGATCCATCTAGAAGACGTCTTCTGCAGCAAAATATCGCTTGCTTCTTCCTCGCGCGGCCACAAATTTGACCTCCGGCAGATTGGTGTGATGCACTACATGCGGTCGGTAAACAGCATCAACAGGCGCCTGCCAATCATCCAGCCCCAACGGAAAGTACTCGTACAACAAATCAGCACTTTCATTGGGGAAGGGAAGCGTAGACGCAAATGATTGCTGCATGTTCGTACTACCCAGTAGGGGCAGCGACGAAGAGGCAGATCGAGATGGCGCTTGGGGCGGGCCATGGGAGAGTTTCCGCATTTTTGCTGGGGGTGCAGTGACGTCTATATTGGAATCCCTATGCGATACGTCATTGCTGTACGATGCAGCTGCTCTGGCTGAATCATGAATGTTGACGCTTTCTCCGCTCTCGTCCTCGTCGAAAAGGGACAAGTTGATGGGAGCCGGAATGCTATTGTGAAGCCGCTGTGTATCCGTAGGTCGCGGGAAATCTGGGCTCGATTGAGCATATACAGACGAATGAGGCAATGGTGCGGAAGCTGTTGTTCCCCCCACGGCAGGCGAGATCTGTGTCCAGTCGGCGGTAGCCGGTGGAGGAGGAGGAGCTATACTGCCTTGAGAGACTGCGGTCTCAGGTGAGCTACTTTTCACCGTCGCCTTGGCTTTAGCCGGTGTTAGGTTAGAAGACGGGACAGATTCACTGGTCGGTGTTCGGTTCACCGCAGTGGATTGGTTATTCTTTCGTGAAGCAGCAGCGCTGCCGCTCAGAGGCAAGTCCTTGCGGGATTGGAAATTGCGTGGGCTACGACCCCGAACAATGACAGGACCTGACTGTACTTCGCAAATGGGAATTCTGGCTCCAGTAGACAAGGTAGCAATGACTTTCAATCGAACGACAAAGTGTTGTTGGAGCTCTTTTCTTCGACCATTATTGGCAGTCGCGACGCGAAATTGTAGTCGCTTCCATGCAATCGGAAAAGTCGCATAGTCGGTATCAAGATCCTGACCAGCCATAATGTCCAACGGGATCGGTGGCGGCTCTTTTTCGACTTTGGGATTAGCGGTGCTTGGGTTGGCACTCATGCCATTTGCTGTGACGCTGCTCTCATCTGTTGATTGATTCTGATTTGCGGCTGGTGTCTTCCAAGGTACCGAGATAATCTTGACCGAGTTACCTTCGACCGACTCGGTAGCTGAAACAGTCAATTCTTGGGCAAGGATAGGTATTCGGTCGCCTTGCTCCGTCATAATATATCTCAAGCTTCGTGGCAGGGTCACCGAGCCGGTGATTTGAAAGAGATTTCGCCGATAGCAGGTCAGCTCCGCGCCTTGCTGGGGTAAAGCATTCTCTGTGGGCGAGGTAGTCCAGGGCGACTCGGCGAGGAAGAACATGCCATGCAGTTGGGCTGCAAGAGAAACCGAGGTGCGCCGCAGTGAGTAGTCAAGCAATGTAAAACTGTAGGCCGGAAGTGAAAAGCTTAAGAGCTTGTTGTTGTGGTCGATTGAAGAGTCTGGAGGTTGCTCTGGAGGAGCAGGGTCAAAGGTTGGCACTATATCTGTGAAGGGGTCCTGGTAGTCTGACGGAAAGCGTTTCAAGCTTGTGGGGGGTACACCATGTTGAGTAAAGGTAATGTCGTCGCCGCTAGCCCGGGACAATGATTAGCCACGGCAAGGTCGCAGATCGGGCAGGAATTACCACTCTCAAGGGCCCTATATAATACTTACCTAATGAAGGGCTCCGACTCGAAAGTTGATCGCTGGTCATGCATGTCCATACCAGGCATAGAATGGAGGTAGTCGGACCCCTGGAGATTGCTCAAGGAAAGCGGGCTGGCCAAATAGGGCATAGACATAGTGTCAAAGCCCTCCATGTTGAAGGATTGGCCCTTCGGGGCTCGAACCTCTCAAAAAACCAAACGCAGAAGAGTGACCAACCACGGGACTGGAAGCAAAGTGTCAATGAGGGCGACCTAGGAGAGTGACGCGGCAGGAAGAGCGAAAGGAAGAGCAGGAGAAACAGGACAAAAAGCTAGGTCGGGAAGCGGCAGAAGAGAAGAGGATGTGAGAGGGCAAAAAGTTGAGTGAAGTTGAAGGACGGAGGACGAAAGGTGAAGGGTGAAGGGTGAAGGGTGAAGAAGGGTGTGGCAGGTAAGCAGGTGGAAAGCCAGATCGATTCCGGCGGGAGGGGTGTTGCGCTACGAGCGCGGCCGCAGAAGGAAGCCAAAGACGGGGTTCAGAAGGGAAGGACAGACCGATAGGGTTGATGTGAATCAATGGATGAATGGATGAATGGATGAGTAAATGGATGAGTAAATGGATGAGTAAATGGATGAGTGTGAAGCCAAAGAAGCAAATGGGTGGAGTAAGGTAAATTGGTGGGGGGGGGGGGGGGGGGGGGGGGGGGGGGGGGGGGGGGGGGGGGGGGGGGGGGGGGGGGGGGGCGGCGTGAACAATGGTTTAGAAAGCCGGTTGCAGTGATGGTTCCGCAATCGTTCCCTTCTGGATTGTTGTGGATAGATATGAGAGGGATGAATACCCAGTACCTAGTAACGTTAAGGTGCGGCACACACGTGCGCGTGCGGAGAGAGGGAGGATGGGAGGAAGGAAGGGAGGGGAGGAGGCCCGGGGGATGCAGTGGAAATCAGCAGCAGGCGGAGGAGACAAGCAAACCGGACAAAACAGAGTACATACAATGGAAATGGAAAATGGAAAAGAAAATTGTTAACCTATCGACATCGAACCCAACCAAGACATAGAGACCAGCAGGAACTCTGTGTAGATGCTAGAAGCTCAGCTTTGCAGAAGGGATAGGTGAAGTGAATAGGTAGTGCACTATAGTAGTAGTAGTAGTTAGTAGTAGTAGTAGTAGTAGTAGAAGTTGTTGTTGTTGTTGTTGTTGTCGTCGTCGTCGTAATAGTAAATTAGGGAAGTATTAAGCTGAGAGAAAGAGACCAGAAAGAAAGAGACAAGCACGAGCAAGCACGAGCAAGCAAGAGACTCCAGATTCCGAGAGCAGGGTGGATCAGATTTCCCCGAAGCCAGGAAGCCAAGCAAATCAAAAGGGCCATCGGGACCGGAGACGGGGGAGGGGGAGGGGAAGGGGGCGCACGGAGACTGGATCGAGCTATGGGGGGAGCGAAGAGGAAAGAGGAGAGAGTTACCTACTAGTTGGTTTACGAAGTCCAGTACGGAGTACGGAGCTAGTTATGAATCCAATTTAATCACTCCACAACTCAATTGAGTTGACAAGTACGGAGTACAGTCGTTTGTAGATACTGACTATACACACTATAGATACTATATCAACATACCATTCGTTGCCTCGTAGATAGACTGGCTCTAATTGACTTCCAGTCAGTCAGTACTCAGTACTCCGTAGACTGCAGGTGGGTGGGTGGGACAGACAAACAAGACTAATCCATATTCAGATAGACAGACCCTCGCTCTGCCCCCGGGCACGAGTAAGTTAATATGAATGAGTACATACTAGGTACAGTACTCCGTAGTAACCCACGTACTCATCTAACAAGAACAAACTGAAGACTGAAAACTGAAAAGAAAGAAAAAGTACTGAAGACAGATGGACAAATCAAGGAGTTGAACAGATTCTTGAGTACGGACTCAAGTAGTAACGTTACTAGTTATAGTTATTACTGTGTAAGCCTCTCTTAGCGCCTCAGCCTCATTTTATTCGCGGTTGGGCCTGAGTAGGGGCGGTCATTTAGAGATACGCATGTACGTGTACATGCACCTACAATGCAGTACGCATAGTGGTGAAAGAAGAAGGAACAAGTCTGAGCCCTGAGGAAGAAGAATGCGAATGCATGTAGTCTAGGTGGCCGGAGACGGTGATGGTGCTAGAAGTGTACAGTAACTTACCAGAGTAGTGGGGATCACTTTTTTAATTAAAGTTTACGGTCGGTCAGCTTGCCTGGTGGAGCCGAACTGACCGGAACTGTCCGCCAACTGGTGAGAGCTTGCTTCTTCTAATGCTCGATTCCCTCCAATTCCCAGTTCCGAGTCTCCCCTGAAATGACTGTGATGTCCTTTGCTGTTTCCGGAACTCTACCCACCACTCCAGGCTCAATCCACCATGTCCTTTGTCGTGGCCAGTGCAGGAAGAGTTTGGATATTTCTTAGATCGCTCAAGTACTCATGGAGATACTGTGCGAATATACCCATCACCGTACTCGGGTGTATATAATATGCGAGTAACTTAGTTGTAGACGCACGGGTAGAGACTAGCCCTACCAGTCTAAAATCGGCTCCAAAGACTGAAGCAGGCCTAGAGCTAGTTGCATGTGCAAAAAGATGACTGGCCGAACATTGTGCGACTAGGCCGCTAATCCAGTCAACCATGTTGGGGCGCCGGCATCCGAAAACAGTTTATCAGACTCTTATTCGAACGCAGATATGCCCCCCTTGGATCGGAACGCTTGCATCGCTGGCGGCACGTCTCTTTTGTCGCTATGATGACA